GGTGAGATAAAGATAAAGAACATGCACTTTTGCTCGCTGGGTTGGGGGAGAGGGGGGATGGCCACACTGCATTCCCTTTTCCATTTGCCTTCCAAGATCTTGGGCACGCATGCACACACGCCTGACATGAATTTCAAACTGCCAGGTCCAGGATTTGAACCGTAATTGGTCATGTAGGAGTCTAGAAATGTAACAGTTATGCCATCTGCCCCATTAATCTTTTTTTTTGTGTGTGTGTGTCTACAGGGCCCATGCACTCACTGGAGAGAGACAGATTAAGAAAGTGAGAAATCACCCCCCAGGGGGATGCCCACACTTCAATTCCTTCTCCTCCATTCTCCTTTTGGGATATTGGGCACGCACGCACACGCCCAATCTATATCTCAAGCTACCAGGCCTAGGACTTGAACCATGCAGTCGGTCATGTGGGATCCAGCCACCCTAACCACCCCGCCAACAGCTGCCCCCCCTTCCAGTTCCTTTCACCAGTTACTGGGTGCTAACTTTGTGCCAGATACCAGGAATACACTTTACACAGACCATCGCCAGTTTTTTAAAGAAAGTATTATTATAGAGGAGAAACCGGGGCCTCAGAGAGCTTAAGGAACTTGCCCAGGGTCACACAGCTAGAAGGCCGCACAGCCAGGCTTCCAGCTAGGGTCGGTGTGGTGTTCTCAGGGGCTCCATGCGCACCTTCCCTCCTGCTCAGCCCGGGCCTCCCTGCCTTCGGGCTGGTCTCCAGCCTCACCCCCAGCCCACCTGTCCTCTCAGCTGTGCCCCGCAGGGACACGAAGCGGACCGTGGCGTTGCCTTCCCCGTGCTGGTTATAGGCGAGCAGCTTCACCTCATAGACGGCGGCAGGGTCTGCGGAAGGAAGGGCGCTGACAGACCGGCCCCGCCCTAGGCGCTCGGGCCTGGCGGGGAGAGGAGGTGCACACGGTGCACGCACAGCACGCACGCACGCACGCACGCACGCCGCAGCACCCCCGCACGCCGCAGCACCCCGGCCCGCTTCTAGGCCCAGGCCTGCCGCCTCACCGAGCTGGCTGAGGTTGTAGGAGGAGACCGTTCCGGGCAGCAGGATGGGGCCGGTGAAGGTGGCCTTGCTTGCTGGGCGGTAAAACAACTTGAAGCCCCCTTCGTGCTGCACTAGCCGGGGCCAGGGCTCCCACAGCAGCTGCAGGGAGGAGCTTCCCAGGACCCGCACCGACAGCGGGGGAGGGGCAGGGGCTGCAGCGGAGAGGGGAGCAGATGTGAGGGCTCAGCGGCCGTGTCATCCTCCACTCCAACTGTGACCTGGGCCCGGACAGGGCATCCGCTCACTCAACAGCGTCTTCCCATGATTTAGAAAAGGATGCCTGAGGTCAGCAGGTGGCATGGAGGTGAAGGCAGGTGGATCCCATATGGCCATCTGTGCAGTTCGAGCCCCAGACCTGGAGGCTTGAAAATCACACCAGACATGTGTGTACACGCCCAAGATCCAGAGAGGAGAAGAATTGGGTGTGGCACGCACCCTGGGGGTGTTATCTCACATTCCCTCTCTGTCAAGGGCATGCACCCTTTAGCAAAACTGGAAAAAAAAAAAAAAAAAGGATGCCCCTTCCTCCAACTAGACTGCCAGGCCCTGGACAAGTGCAGGTGGTGGCGGTGCCCTGAGTGTCTGCCCTCTAGCACCGGGCGCGGGCCTCACCTTCGCCCAGGGTGCTGGCCAGCGTGGGGGCCGAGGCTGAGCTGGCCCCCCTGGGCGTGTAGGCCTTGATGTAAAAGCTGTAGGCCGTGGAGGGCTCCAGGTCGCTCACCAAGTGCTGGAAGGTGCTCTTGCTCACGGCTTCCTGATACTCCAGCTCAGGTGGGTCTGCGGAGCAAAGGGCAGGCCAGGGGAGTGTCAGGGAGGTGAGGAGTCCTGCTAGCATCAGCACAATGAGGGCAGCCAGGGTGCAGGGCAGAGGAGGGAGGTGTCAGGTCAGGACAGCAGGACCGGAGGGGGTGCCAGGCCTCCCTCCAGGCCCACCCACCCGCAGCCTTCCTGATGTGTAGGACGTAGCCGATGATCTCCTTGGTGTTGACCAGGGGCTCACTCCAGGACACGCGGACCTCGCCAGACGACACGGGCACCGCCCGCACGTTGCGGGGCGGCCCGGGCAGCCCCTCGGCCCACAGCACCGTCAGCCTGGCGCTGGCCTGTGAGGAGCCAGCGCTGTTCTCGGCCACACACTGGTAGATGGCCTCGTCTTCAGGACCGATCCCAGAGATGGTCAGCGTGCTGCAGGCGAGGGAGAGCCTCAGACCCCTCCTCCAACAGGGCACCCCTGGAGGGCGGCCAACTCTTCCCGTTGGAGAGGTGCAGACACTGAGTCCCTCCAGAAGGTCAAGGACTTGTCTGAGCGGTCCCAGCCAGTTAGCGGTAGGCCTGGGGCTCCCGTGGTCTCTGGCCACTTGACTCGGGGGGGCAGCGCAGGAAAGCAGCCTGCCCACGCCACCCCCACGTGACGTGAGGGGGCGGCTCCCCCTGGGCTTGGCAGGTGAACATGGCGGTGGTCCCGGCAGGCCTGGAGATGGACTGGGGATGCTGGACAAACTGGGCTGGGGCTGCAGGGGTGCACGGAGAAGCACGTGAGTTGTGAGAGTTGGCGAAAGGGACAGACATCTATGGCGAGTGAAGGGATGAGGACAGAAAGCTGGTGGGGATGGAGGCTGCAGGGCATGAGGTGGGGGTCTGAACACCCATCT